TTTTTGTAGGTGAAGGACTTCCCGGATTCGAATTTGTTTTCGAAGATTGCGCCGGACCAGTTTAAAAACTTATATGAGGTGCTACCGTTTCTTGACTATACCCATATCAGTCGCAAAGACAGTGGCCGTGGAAGATTGAATATGCTCAATTTTTTCAACGAAGTGCAGGATACGCCGGATCCGGGACCTAAGACCTATATTTGTTTCGGTGAGTTACTGTTCAGTTTGCGTCTTGAGTTTTTTGTTACCTGCGTCCGTAACTTACCGAGTTTTGGCATGACGGCACTCAGTTTGTAGAAAAGAGTTGTTGGTACTAATGATTCACTCAGCGCTATAAAGAGTTTTTTCCGAGGCTTGTTTTTTGAGCTTTGATCTAATCTCATTAAATTTCAGGTCTCTACAATGCGCCACATCTGGCATCAACTCCATTGCATTTGGACGTGTCCGAAGCTGTAAATTTCCTGCCGCTTGTTAGGCCACCTGATTTCATGTCAAGAGAAGAAATTAGAGAGGGTAAATTCTTTTGATCTGTATGCTGAAATGTACGATCATAGTTAGCGGAAAGGAACACCTTACTAGTTTTTGGTGACGAGTCGGGTTTTTCAGTCTTCTAGAATCTTGAATTTTTCTCTGCCTCGGATTGAAACCTAAAAATTCTATTTGCTACGAATTTCTTACTTTCTAGGCTCATTTTTAATTATTACCTCCACTTCTTTTTGTTAATAATATGATACTATTTCTCAACTTTCACAAACATTTCCCGCTTTTTCTGATGCCCATTTGGTAGGTATTTCCAATTAATCAGTTCTAGCTGTTGAAAAGCGGCTGCAGTTGGAAGGTTTTGACGAAGAGCAGAAAATGCGTGCCCTTCGAGTGCCGGAGAAAGCTGGTGCGATCTGGAAAATTTTCCATCCTGATGACAATGAAAAATTACGTGCCATTATAAATGACTGGAAAAAAATGAGGGTTTGTTTTTTTCCCATGATTTTGCTGATTCAGACGCATGCATGGAAGTCGCATAAGGCGCAAGCAGTGTT